AGTCCACTCGTCGAAGTTGAGGCTCAGTTCGGCCTCGAACGCAAGCTCCCTCTCCTTGGCGATGATGCCGGAGGAGTCGAAGACGAGGGTGTTGTCCAATTGCTTGGTCTTCGAGCGATTGTTGAATGAGCAATAGTCGTCCGTGAGGTAATTGAGCGGCACGTGGGATGTCCAGCCGTCTGCCCCGGAAAACTTTCGGCGAATCGCCTCGGGGATGAGACCGCCGGCATTCAATGCCGTTTGTCCTAAAACACGAACGGGACGCTTGCGCAAAGCGCTGGTCGTTACTCCTGCAGTGAAAGGAGCGGCCGCGACGTTATTGTTCTGCTCTGTAAATGAACGATGTATGAGTACGTGTGAGATTGAAGCCGGCTATAAGGAAAGCGCAACATAATGTCGAAAGCGTAGGTGCGAGGAGTACTGTCCCAGAAAGTAGGGGTATAATGAGTGGGTTAGAGCCCAAAGTTGGACGCGCCGAGAGTCAAGTCGCAGAAATCAGCGCAGGGGTATCCGCGAGAGTAAAGGCCCCAAGTAAAAACAGAGTCCCAGATGAAAAGTGGGGGAGTAAAGGCCCAAAGTAAAAGTGCCGGGAGTAAAGTCCCAGAAATCAGCGCGGGGAGTAGAGGCCCAGGTGAAAATAAAAGCGCCGGGAGTAAAGTCCCAGAAATCAGCGCGGGGAGTAGAGGCCCAGGTGAAAAGCGGGGATAGCCGCGGGAGTAAAATCCCAAAGTACAACACGCCGGGAGTAAAATCCCAAAAATCAGCGCGGGGAGTAGAGGCCCAGGTGAAAAGCGGGGATAGCCGCGGGAGTAAAGTCCCAAAGTAAAACACGCCGGGAGTAAAGTCCAAAAAATCAGCGCGGGGAGTAGAAGCCCAGGTGAAAAGCGGGGATAGCCGCGGGAGTAAAGTCCCAAAGTAAAACACGCCGGGAGTAAAGTCCAAAAAATCAGCGCGGGGAGTAGAAGCCCAGGTGAAAAGCGGGGATAGCCGCGGGAGTAAAGTCCCAAAGTAAAACACGCCGGGAGTAAAGTCCCAAAAATTCAGCGTGGGGAATCCAGTCCCATATACAGAAAAGCGTTGATAACCATGAGAAGCATGATATGCGCCAATGGATGTTCGAAAACGGAGTTAAACATCCGGGCACGAGCGGGAGCGGGAAGGCTCCGAAGAAGGTGAACCTGAGTATTAAGATCGTCGTCGGGTTCGGGACTCGGCGTGGGGCTTTGTTCAGGAGGCGGAGAGGGGGGATCATGGAGCTGAATAGGGGCAATTCCGTTCCACGGCGGTGGTGTAGGCGTGCGATTGGCATAGCGGGTGCGCTGTTCGCGGGTGAAAAGGTGCCAGTAGTCTTCGTCTCCCATCAGGTCCTCGTTAACGTTAATATAGGCCTTGAGACGAGTGCGAAGAGCTGTCTGAGAGCCTGTAGTATCCTGCCCAAGCGCACTGAGTGCGGATAGGAGGTCGGCTCGAGAGAGCTGGGAGACAGTCTTGGTGAATCGGGGCATGGTGGAGATGGAAAGTCAAAGGAATGTTCAAAGTTTGGTGAGATTGGTGAAGTTGAGACTTGGTTATCGAGGTATTCGGAGTGCAGGTGCGTAGTGTGGTCGAGAGGAGGAGCCCACAGCGACCTGTCACTCCTCCATCACAAGACATTGTATCGACATCGGCCGATACTCCCAATGTCGTTTTCACCTCGTGGAATCTTATTGCGGAAATATCCTGCGAGGACGCTCTTTTGGCATGGATCGTCCACAGTGCGCAACCGTGACCGACACCGACATCGGGGGATTTCACCGAAAATGACCTGAAAAGTGGAGAGCCGTCTGGCACCAAGCGGCTAATCCCCAAAAATTCGAGTGAGCGTGGGATGCTTTGCTCAGGTCTAGTTTTCATCTCTAAAAACTATTCGTTCAGCGATAGTGTCGTGGCCGAGCTTCCTCGGTCCGACTGGATATGGACATGGGCAAGACTTTTGGGTTGAACCCTAGTTCCCCGAGAATGCTCCTGCAGTCAGTATACGCGGGCTACAGTGATGGAATTAGTAAGTTCTTTTTGCAATTGGATACGAGTCTCACGGGTCAAAGTCATGCGAGAGGATTGTTACCGCGGCGAGGACATATAATCTTACCGTGATACCTGCGGAATACTTTGCTCAACGGTTTGGCTCTCATTGTATCCCCTACCGATCCTTTTGGCGGTGGGCACGGCGCTGAATTTGGTCCAAAATTCGACCTGAACCACGAGGAGCACCGGATCACATCCTGCGTGAGCCAACAAATATCGACGACTCTCAATTCACGTCATTGGACTGGTTGCTGAAGCGATGCAAAATTACTGGTCCACAATGCGTTTCATTAGGACGCCGTGTATCGTCGAAGAATTGCGGCGGTGAAGAACGTGTCCGGGAACTCCATAGCACAAGATCGATTTCCATTGTAGAATACAAAGGAAGGTATCACTCGTTCTCATCCTCGTCGTCCTGCGCAGCAGGCATTTGTCGTTGGTTCAAATACAGAGACGCGTTAACTGTGTATGGAAGTCAACACATATGAGTCGGGCAAATGGTGAGGACATGCCAGTCTAGAAGAAGGTCTCCGCGCAGAAAACCTCGGGTGAGACGATAACGCCGTCATCGGAGGGATTTGCGCATGCTGTGATAATACTCCACTCAGCATCTTTCCACGAGGCCAGGAAATGTGATCGTCAATACGTACTGCCGGTAATGGTACCAATCTCTGGGGTGCTGAAGGAGCAGACATCGCCTATGGCTTTGCCGTTGCACGCGTCGTCGATGATGTTCCTCGTCTGAAGAACGGGAGCAGCCAGTGTGGAGACAAAGAAAAGGGCGGCAAGAGCAGAGATCAAGGAGAACTGCATGTTTGAATAAACGGGAATGAGGTGGGTTGAAAGAATGAGAGTGATGATATGCGACCTGGCTATGGCTTTAAGTTACAACGTCTCGTCCTTATACTGTTCGATGCAGATGACCAATCAGCTGCGGAGGGCAGGGGATCATCCCACAGATGGGATATTTGCGTGGAGGACGTTACGACCGATAATCGATCAATTTCTGAAACTCACGTTGCCATTGACGGTGTTCGAGATTTCCTTGCATGCCCAGTTGTTTGGCCTGATGATCCGTCACCACGGCCAATTGCAGACGGTATCCATAAGGCGTACGGTGTACCGACACGGTTTTTATAATGGGATGCAAGGGATAGCCGAAACCAAACTTCTGGCATCAAACCTCCCATCACGGTCGTCGATCCAGAAAGATTTATGACCGTTCGATCTCGGTATGCGCGGGATACCCTCATCATTGGTGAAAGAAAATCACATGATCACCGTGACAACCATAGATGCGCTCGTTGCCACTGCTGTTCGAGTTTCTTTTTGCCCGTCTTCTTGGTTGATTTAATAACGTACTTGCGATTTCAGTCCCAGTGAAAATCCCTTATGCTGAGATCAGCCGAGATCTGTCGAAATCTGCTCAGTGTTGGCGTATTTATGCTGAACTCTGCTGCCATCTGCTCGACTTCATAAAGTCATGAAAATTGCCAAAATATTGCGTCATTTTGATTTTGAGCATATTTATTCCTCCAGCGCGCGCTACCAAGCCGGCAATATCTACACTCTGGACCTCATTTGCATCCTATCCATTTAATCACCGAGAGCCCTCCGGGTGAATAACGCCGCACCTTCCCGGAAAAAAGAGATGTGGGTCTGCTCACGGCGGGGGCCCGAATCGAACGGGTACCTTCGGGTATGGAGGCTTGAACGCGTAAATGAACTCACGGTGGCCGCCTCCATACTCACACAGTAAATATCTACGGCACCCATGAAACCGTTTTCCTCCGCGTTCCGCGCTAAATCTGAGATCACCTCAAAATCCAGCGGGTGGGGAGAATTACATGAAGAGACCCTCATTTAGTACAATTTAACACACAACTCAGGCTCCCAGGCAACGACTTGGCACTGCCTTGAGATACAAGTGATGTGTTTCCACCAAGCTCGCGTGTGGTCTCCAAAGCTGGGCGATGCCACACAACTCAGCTAGTTCGAGACCCATAAAAATCCCATGGCGGGAGCCCGAGTCGAAGGGGCACGCTCAGAATGAAGCGAGTCGCGAGCTGCCTTATTCATCTCCGATTCATGCCGTGTGCTGCCCGGCCTTTCTTACCTCCAATCTGCACCCGATGATCTCTGGGCATCCTCTCTATGACACATGGTGGCCGGGCACATGACGTGAGCTCAGGTTCAAGTTCAACCTCTGCACCTTCAAGGTGGAAAGGCCTAGGTTTCGGCCTCCGAACCGATGAGCCACCCAGCACACCGTGTTCATATCCGAAGGCACGTTCAAGGAGCAATTTATTTGACCAAAAAAGGAGGACGAGAGGGGAAAGTTAACGCAGCCCTCAACATTTTTCATTGTCAAACAACGAGTAAGAAAAAGGGTTCTAATTTGGGTCGAATGGCGGGGGCCCGAGTCTAACGAGCATCCTGGGGCAGACAGTTGGTTTGACCACGGGGTCCCAGTGCAGACGGCGTGGCAACCCGGCAGTGACACTTACACTATACACCACAGAATATATGCCTAAAGTTCTTGCCGCACGAGCCTCGAGACCGCTCTTTCGTCTAAAAATACAAGCTTATTGGCATTTGAATGAGGAACCTTCAAAGGAATTCATGTCGACAGTCAAGACCTAACCTCATGATTTTCCTGAGCCCCGTTCCAGATTGTAGACATGAATGATGATGGCCTATGGTACTGCGATCAGACGTAACCCTTATGCGGCATAGGGACATACACGGCTTCGACGGACCCAGTCGAGATGAAATTTGACCGAGATATGTGAACCTAGCCGACATGACCCCAGCCGGAATAAATCAATAATGCAGCCATTGAATGTGCCGAGCCATCCCGCCTGGTCCGTGTCTTACATGTCCCTCGGAAAAAATCGCCGCCGCCGGCATGAAAAAGAAAGCTAGGCCTCGGTAAGTGGCGAGAGCTTGAGTCGAACAAGCACCCTCGGGATGCCAGAGAGTTCGAATTTATTATTACCCGGTACACACCGTGTGCTACCCCGCCATATTCTCTACGGGTTCAACCTGGGAGTAAAGGTGCCAAGCCCCGTTTCTAGTGCTATTTTTGGGCGGCGGGGTGAAGTGTACGTAAGCTAAAGGGCGCACGAGCGCACCACCAGGCTTTGGGGTCGGCATGTGGTGCGGTAAAATGTGCGCTCTGCACGGAAGTTGTGCTTGTTAAGAAGGAAGGCGGGAATATCCGGAACAGTCGGTGATGGCCGGGGAGGATGGTGACGTCAGCTCTCTTGCCTTCTCACCACGACGACGCACAAGCGCTCGATTCGTCGAGTACGCCGCCCCGCGTTCCAAACACCTTCGACCACCGAGGCTCTGGTGATGTTAACCGCTTCGTCACTGCCAACTCTCCGGTCGCTTCGTTGCAAATGCTCCTTGTTGGCAAGTTGTCCCTGCTGCTTGCCCGGTCCTCGTCCGCCTAGCTGTCTCGCCGTGTTTAATCCCGTGCCGTTGTCACTCTCTCCTACATACCCTATTAGTATCGATCATCTCCATTGCACTGCGCCAGCGTTGACGCGTGCGTCTTGCGTGGCTTCTTCTGGCGTTAATCCGACTTCACGGTGCACGCCGGTCTGCTCCGGACCTCTCCCCCGTGCGTCTGCTTCAGGATCGCAAGGTATTTTGCGACAATGCCCTGCACCCAGTGGCGTGCTCTAAGCTGAGTGTCCCCTACATCGCGACGCTAATCCCCGATACGCGTGCTAATATACTACAATTTCCTTTGTGCGTATCCAGGACGTGTCCATGTACATGTACACGCATCCATTTTAGCCCCTTTCACATCCGTTCTCGATTCCGCACTTGCGTTAGCGCACCGGGACTTCCTTCCCGATGTACGGCTCTTCCGCCGTCCGGGCGCAGGTCTGCCTTGATTGTGTGGCTTAAGCTGTGCTTCGCACCGCGGATGAGTAGCTTCTCGCTTTCGTTATCCGCATCTCGTGCCTCCTGCTCCACCTTGTTTTCTGAGGATATTTCCGCTGGCCCTCAGTCCACCGCTCACCACCCCTCGCCGCCTGGTTCTTCGGGCGCTTTGGACCGCGTCGTCTGCTCACTGGCGCTCTCTCGATCGCCGCGGGCCACACTGTTGATGAACAGTCTGAATTCAAGCTGAATTTCCTCATTCCTCATTAAAGGTTACTCTCCCATTTCCTATCCTCGCGAGGGTGTGAGCTGCGTGGTTTATGCGTCCGTGTGAGCCCTTTATCCATGCAACGCCTTCAGCTCTTGAATTCGAGTGATCTACAGACTCCGAAATTATAGGCCATTTTGCACGCACGTACATCATGGAGGACACAATGTAGGGAGAAAGGCGGGGTAGCACACGGTGTGCGCCGAGTGCAGCTCATCATCGTGTATGCCGTTACCCGGAGGTGCCCGTTCGACTCGGGACCCCGCCCTTTGATGCATCCACCATATTTTTTGTTGCCTGCGGCGTCGCTCCCACTCCGCCCGAGCGCAAAAACGTGCGGCAATGCACTAGAGGTGACTCGTTAGTCTATAATAAGACAGTCGCCGGCACAAAAGCGAGATCGAGACAGGAAAGCAGAACGGAAGTCCCTTTGTACGTCCAACGAATCGGTGCAAAGTCCAATGGTGAGAGTCCCAGTGGCACTTCCACAAGTGATAAGAACGAATTGTTCGGAGACGTTCTGACTTTGGCAGAGGCATCGAACAGATACCTCCGACGAAGGGCTTGAGATGCAATTAATGTACTAGTAGCACTAGTGTACATTGGGTTTTATTTTTTCGCTCCAGTATACAATGGGTTTCAACCTGACAAGTCCAAGCGTGGTAGATACCATAGAATCCAGATGTTGACTGGCCAAATCATGGAGAAGGACAAAAAACGTCAGCAGTGTGGGGAGGAAAGACATGGTTCGAGCATATTGTGTCCCCATGCACACCATGTGCTACCCCGCCTGTGCCTTCGGTGTTTGGATCCTCCCTAGGACACACACCAAATCGACGATTGAAGCAGGGACGATGGGAGCGTGGACCTTTTTCTCTCTTCCCCATGAAATGAAAGGATCGTTCGTGAAGCCATGGTGGGGGCCTGAGTCGAACAGGCACGGTCAGAGTGAACGGACTGGGAATTGTATATATCATCATGATGAGTCTCGGATGCACGCCGTGTGCTACCCCGCCTTTCTTCCATCCATCCTGCATCCCATGATGTCTTTTTCCAGGCACCGTGCATCGACACGTCATCCTGGCCGCACGCAGAGCATACCACACATCGTAATTTCATCTCAAACCTCTGCGCCCGCGGGCGGCTGAGCCGAGAATTGCATCGGGGTTGAATTGAGCACATCAGTTCATTTTCAGGCGCGAGGTCAAAGTTAAACAAAAAGGCATCAACTTTCGCAATTAAGCCGGTGGCCCGAGTCGAACGGGCATGCTGAGAATGAACTTCACTGGGGGTTCTCTTCTCGTACTCCGGTACTGTACACCGTGCAGCTGCGCCAAATATTTCTCTCATGATGCATCCTAGCCGCCTGAGAGATCGGAACGAAGTTCAAGGATACCTGTGCCACCCCGCCCGCCGCATTCCACCTATATGGTGCGCAGCTCAATCTCGCCTGAAGATTTGTTGTAGCCGCTAGCCATAATATTAATACGGACATGGGCGGAATGGCACGGATGACCATTCCTTGCTTCAGATGTAGTGCCCAAAAGAATTCATTTTGCCGAGCTATGGCGGGAGTCCGAGTCGAACGGGCACCTCCGGGTGGTGGAATGGCTCAAGACAGCACAAGCTCATCCGGCGCACATCGTGTGCTATCCCGCCTTGCAGTCTTGACGGCGTCCACTTATACATGTTAGAAAATAACTGAGCGTAGGCTGGTAACCCAGTTCAATACACGTGGCGATCGCATAAATGCGAGAAATATCTGATCGAGGCCGCCGTAATATAGCAACCTGGCGCGTTAACCCTCAACTGAATCAACTGAATCAATAGAGTAAAGCCATCGACCAGAAGAAAAAAAAGTATGCTTTAGATTCCAATACCAGTGGGGAGAGCTTGAGTCGAACAAGCACCCTCGGGATCTAGCCAAGACGGTCAACTCGTGCTTATCTTTACCCGGTGCACACCATGTATCCCGCCTGTTTCTCCTCAATTCGACCATCGTGAGATGATGGACATTGAATGTCGGGTGCACGATCCTGCAGTCTCGGCACGAGCGGCCGAGGGCACAATACTGCGTTGTAAACATGGGTCAGCTTCGCCGGTGGGCTCCCAAATGCGCGGGTGAGATGCAGTGGGGAGCCATCCAGCGGTGTTTTGACATGCAGGGAAATTGAGGCGGGGATGGGGGGACCTCTGGTGTAACGGTAACCATGTTTCCTGGTGTCTGAGTAAATCGGAGACCTCTGAGCCTTGAAGATCAAGGGTTCAATTCTCAGTGAAGCCGTCTTTTGGGAGGTTTAGTGGGTATTGCCTTAATTGGTCGAGTCCCATGCTGTTCAGCACTTGCCGTTCGTGCATAAAAGCATTCCTGCCTTTTGGAGGGGGTCATGTGCCCCTGTTCTTTGCGGGTCAAAGGGGTTGATCAATTATCAGTTGCCGGTAGTCATAACAACGCACCTCCAAAAAAAAAAAAAAAAATGAGGCGGGAAGTGCAGTAGGTTGAACCACAAAAGCAGGTGGGAAGCGTCGGTGCCGGTGGGACGGTGACGTCAGCTCTCTGGCTTTCCCCGAAGCCACCGCGACGATGCACAAGCGCTCGATTCCTCGACGCTGCCCCGCGCTTCAAACGCCTCCGAGGCCGAGCCGATGTAATGCGTCTCATCATCGCAGTCTACGTGGCTCTCCGCTCGTCAACGAACTGTTCTGAGTCCCACTCTTCTCATTATATCTTATACATGCTCCTCCTCAACGTTTACTTTCATTGCTTCGTTGCAAATTTCAAATCAGGACTAGTGCTGGTTGCCCTTTCCCCATCCGCCTAGCTGTCTCGCCGGGTTGAATGCCGCGCCGTCGTCACCCCCGGGCCCTGCTACATATGCAATTCGTATCGAACGTCCCCGCTGCGCTGTCCTTTCTGACTCGACTCGAATCCTTCCTGTGCCTCTGCATCCCGCGGCGTCCCGATCATTACGCTTGCTTGCGGGAGGGACAACTCCCACGTCCCTCAGCCCACGTCCGACGCGTCGCGCGTGCCGCCATGTACGCATTCCGCTGGATGTTCGCACGTATGACGGCGCCGCGCGTTCTAGCGCGTCCGGGCCGAGGCGTATGATGTCTTTCCGTCCGTGCATCGGGCCAACGTTGACGCGTGCGTCTTCCGCCACTTCTTATACTGACTTCACGGTGGATGGCCGCTCCGGAGCTGCCCCGCGCGCATTTGCCTCCCGGGCGGAGGGACTTTGGAATGGCTCCAGTGCGGCGTGTTCTAAGCTGAGCATCCCCCACTGCTACTCGATCGTCTCCGCTGCGTTCTCGCTCGCCTCGATTCCTTTGTCTATTTACCCGAATCACGTACGGCGGCCCGGGCTCCGAGCGCCGGGCTTTCGAGTCCACTTTGGACAGGCACGCTCCGTGGTGATCCCCTCTGTGCACTTAGGCCCCGAGCTGTCTAATACTCACATTACTAATGTATACAGAAATCCCCCAACGCGCGATCGGTTAGTAAATCCGCCGCGCACGCCGGCCGGCCTATTCGCCCCTCCGTCTGGAATCCCCGCTCGCATTGTGTTTCGGATCTGCCCCAACAGGACGTTTTCGTGCGCTGCCACTCAATCGCCCGCGGAGCCCGCCTATCCCGCTGCTCCAGCTGCAGCGCCGCTGCGTGTTCACCGCGTAGGTTGCACTGCTGCGTCGCTCCACTCCACCCTTCTGCACGGGCTGCGCTTGCAATTCCCCGGGATTCATGGGATGCTCATCAGCCCATTTCTCCACTCCCCCGCGCTTGTCAGATGATCTCAGGCCCACCTTTGCTTATCCGAATTTAGATTCAATTTCCTCGCTCTCAGGTTACTCCTCTATCT